TGCTGAATAAAGTAATGACAGAACTCCAAATAGATAGATATGAGCCACCATGAGAAAATATGGATGCACCATGTCGCCTTCCTTTCTCACTGGCTTTAAGATTTATGAAAGGATTAGAGGGTAGGTCAAGAAGAGTAAGAAAGTAAGAGAGATAGGCAGATGTTGATGTCATGGGAAGCAGTATGTTTCTGGGTTTTGAACTAGGTTAACTTACCAAAGAGGCTATGCATTGTAGTGACTGAGAGGGGGTGTCTCTGAAGTCTGCACGCAAGATTTGAGTTACACCTTTGCTTGTCTATTTTGCTGTGTAACCTTGGAAAAATTACCAAGTTCCTTCCAAAGTTCCAGTTACCTAAAGTGTGATGATGACAATATTCTCTAGCTTGTAGACTATATTGATGAAATAAAAAGGTAAAACATAACACAGTGCCTGATACATAGTAAAAGCTGCATGAATATCAATTGTTTCTGTGTGCTACCATTTGCAGAAACATTAATAGTGATTTTATAAGACTTTACATTTAAGGTTCAAAATACCAGGTGTATTCCTCCATGTAAAAAAATAAAATAAAACATGATTTAATCATTTAGTAACTTTAGGTAGGGGGAAATGAACAGCCTTTATTGGTTGCAAAAGGAAGAGGGAAAATGACAGTTACTGCTCCTAAGTGATGTCTGAAAACTCAGTTGCCAGTCTCCAAAGAGCAGCCAATTTTTTAAGGCTTCTTCTAGACCTCGGCCAAATCTGAGAGTGTTGACTCAAACAGTCTGTCAGGAATACAGGTGCACAGGTTACAAAGGTTTAAGACAATCTGTAGTAGTAAGGCAAGTTTTTATACTGTGAGCCATTTTAGGTGTACCTACTAAGTAACTTTAGTGGAATTTTTAAAGTAAGGTGAAAACACTGATTATGGTTCTGAACATTTAAACAGAACAGTTAAAAGTTAAAAGTTCAAAGTCTAGTTAAACCTATATTCTGTCAGTTGCTGAGGGTATTAAGGCCAAGAATAGATAGCTTGTAACTAAGAGTGTATAACCTTCCTTAGGTATCTAAGAAAAACTCCTGACATTAGCCCTGCCACTCCTCCCAAGTTGTTCTTTTCCCAAACCTGTTCATCACACCAATGGCAAAACCATTCATCCAGTTAGTCATTCAGCCCCTAATGGTAAATACACATTTACTCTTCTTTTTCTCTCATATCCAATATTCAATGATAAATTCTTTCAGGTCTACAACTGAAGATATAACAGGAATCAATGTGTGGGCCCATGTTATTCATGGAGGATTTGTTCTAGGAATTTGATGGATGCCCAAATCCTTAGATGCTCAAGCCCCTTATTTAAAATGATTAAAATTTGCATATTACTTATGCATATTCTCCTTCATACTTTAAATCATCTCTACAAAACTTGCAATTCTTAATACAAATAGTTGTAGAATTGTATTGCTTAGGAAGTAGCACTGAAAAAAAGTGTACATATTAAAATAATTTTTCCCAAATATTTTAGATGTATGATTGGTTGAATCTGAGGACAGAGAACCTGTTTTTACAGAGCAACTGTCCTTCCCACTACTCAGGTCAAATTCATCATTATCTTTTGCTGAAAAATCTTCTCTATTTGGACTTCTGAAACCCAGCTTTATTCCTACAGTTCTGGTGCCCTGCTTTCTCTGTGATCTTATCTTTTACTCAGTTTACCTCTCCAAATGCATTCCAGTTTCACTGGCTGCTTTCACATTCTCAAATTGATACCTTCTGAGCCGCGCAAGATGATATATATAGGAGCCAAGAGGAAGGATCCACTTATACTGTTTAAGTATCTACCAAATGCAGTTTTTTCCACAAGGCAGCTTGCATTTTCTTTTCCTACTCTCTGGAACATTATTCTCCCACATTCACATGAGGCACTCCTTTTCATCTTACCTAAAATTGCATCTATTCCTCATCACCTTAACTAAAATGCTACATTGACTTTTTTTCTTTAATCATAGCGCTTGCCATTATGTTTATTTATTCACTATTTCTTTTCCACTGTCCTGTAAGCTCCATGAGAGCAGGGACACTTTATTTCATTACTCTATCACTGATGCTCAGAAAATGTCCAGGATCTAAGTGCTCAAAGTATGCTTGTTGACTAATTCACGAGTGCCTTCGTATACGTCTTCTCATTAAGCTCCTGCTCAAATTATCCTCATTGCTGCTAAATCTTCTATAACAGCACAGCTTTCAATAATTCTTTGAATCACTGTGACATGATCTGTCATATTCACTTGGCACTAATTATATAACCCCTGCAAGTTAATTAACTAATTTTATTCCAAGACATGAAACACATGAAAATAGAGATGATGTTAATTACCTGGAGAAGACTGAACTATATATTTCATTGACACAAACTTCTTATTGATCCTCAATTATGAATACATCTAGAAGTATCTACTAAAAAACTAAAGTCCAGTTGCGTATGATAATATGGGGAAAACCTTTTCTATTCTGTGACGCTCTTCACGTCCTGTGATTGCAAAGGTTAACTTAAATTTACTACATAATAGTATAGCCAAGTAGACTAGGAGATGATGTATAGATCTGTTTGAAACCAGAACAGGCATTACAGTTAGTGTTTAAAAAAAAAATCTCACACTCAAAAAGCAAAGAAATGCAAAGTCTGTCTAGACAGATTGAGGATAAGGTTACAATGCCAAATACTGACTTAGTTGATTTTAAAAAATGCTTCAAAATGGTGGAAAGGAGTGCATTTTATGAAAATCTAACAACTTTCCAGAATGTTTTTTTCATGCAAGTAAGGATGAGGATGAAAAGCAGGAAGCAAAAGGTAAGGGATAATAGATTGGAATTTTATATTTATTTATTTGTCTAAAGCAAGATGATGGCATCTTTGGAATCTGGCTTGCTTCATTAAAGTTCCTGTAAAATATTTTAAAATAAAGATTTCAAAAATATATCTTTCTACGGAATCACAGGGAGGCGGATTACATTATAGAGGATCTCTCCCCAAACAAAAGGTTCTGTGAAGTACAGAGATTATCTTTTCATAGGTAATAACTTGTTAGTATAATTTTTAAATTATACTAATTTTTAAATTAAGTCAAGATATTTGGAATATTACTATTTCCATATTGCAAAGCATCTGCAATTAAGCCCTCAGAAATCTCTTTTAAAGAGGGAAATCTCTTACTTCTTTTGCTCCCTACTCCAATTCAAATGGTAGGATTAGAGAAATTCAAGATTAAATTTACTAAGCGTGTGGAACTGACCACAAGTCACCAGAGATCACAATGCCCACACTGTCCAAGGCCTTCATTTCCCACTGTTGTGAGAAATAGTCTTTCCAGGCTCAAGGATGTAGCTTCCTACAAACACATGGTGATCCTCTTTTGGTAATTTATCTCTGTGGCTTGCCCATGTATTCACTCACTGTTTCTTATGTTTCATTCCTACATAATGTGGGCATCTGAGGATAACTACAAAAGTCCTAATCTGTCCATACATTTATCTTAAAAATTCAGAGAAGCTAGCAACTCCATTTAAGACTTGTCAAAATGTTTGTGGCACTGACAACAAAGAATACATACAGTTGATTTCTAAAACAGCTCATCAGTTGTAAACTGTGCATTTAAGAATTTATTAAATCCAAGTGTTACTCAGCCAAACAAATATTGACATGATGTATCATCACAATATGCTCTCAATAACAGCTTTTACATTGCTAAAAGAGTTTTGCCAGAAAATCAGATATCTATGCCAAAACACTGGCTCTCTGCATTTGCTGCCAACCTTGGCCAGTGTTTTGCATCCAGTGACAAAATTACAGCATTTTATATAGGAAAGCAGAGAATAGGTCATAAACCTACTTTTCAAATATTCACAACTGTGGTATATAAATGAATATGCTTACTAAGAGGGAATCTGTAAGTGCCAATGCTTATGTAGTTACTATTAAAATTTCCAAGCACAGTGAGATCATAGTAATGTTCAACAGCAATCTATGAAGCTCCTTCCAGATGTGTACTCATTTTGAAACATTTAAATATAATTCTACGAAAAAATGATGTAAAATGATTGTGTGTAGTTATCATCATATAAACCTTATAGTCAAGTCTTGAATACATTAACAATTGTCTAAGCTCCCTTAACAGTAAAGAAATAAACACGAGTATTTGATCAATCAAATGAGAGAATGCATGTGAAACGCCTGGGGTGACCTGTACTTAGTACATAAAGAAGCATCTGATATATATCTTCATGTCTATGACTCCTTTACCAGATAGTTGTTTTTTTTTTGCTTTTGAAATGTATAAATCCCAAGAAGTCCAAGAAAAGGAAATATGTCTTAGTTATATTTTGCCTTCAGTAGTTAATATCCAGCATATTTTATAGCTAATATATTTTTAAAATGATAGAATACTTTGTACTTTTTTAACTCATTAGCTCATTTCTGAGAGTGAGAGTAAATTTCCACCTCAATAGAAATATGAATATACTAGTTGATTAAATATCTTGTCTAAAGAAGTTACTATGGACAAAATACAAATAATTTCAATTTCTAATATATTTGTCTTTCTTTTATGCAGTCTTTCAAAGTATTTGTTATGAGCAAGGCAATTCTGAAACCCAGTTTCAGTCATGATCTTAGACTTATATAAAATTTATAGTTTACAAATAATTCTATATTTAATAAGAGCTATAATAAAGGAATGTACAAAATACACTGGTTGCTTACATAGTTAAATTCCTAACTCTGCTTAGAAGAGGCGAAGACAGGCTCAATGGCTTTCGGACTTGAAAAATGAGTTCTGTATTTTCCAGGTACACATATGGGAAAGTAAAGGCACTGCATGCCAAGAACAGGCACAACAATGATACTGTGTATCACTGTTAACTCTAAGATGAAACTAAGTATCATCTGCAGTTGAATGTAACTGGAGCACAGAGAAGGAAACCAGGAAAGCAGTAGTAACAACTCCAAAAGGCCTCATGTGTCATGGAAAGTATGCGTTTTTATTTAGCAGAACTTTTTAGTGGGAAGTACACAATCAGGTCAAAAAGCTCATTATAGCAACTGTGAAAGAAGAAATGGGAATAACAGTGGCTTTTTTAATAATATAAAAAGGGCTTTAACTGAACAATGGGTATGGCTTAGAATTAAGGTAACTGTTTGCTTTTATATAGTGAGAAAGGAATCATGATGAGTAAAACATATCTGGTATATAGACAGTTTTCAGGATGCGGATGTTAAGAGTGAGCCTTTTAAGAATATTTATTTCAATAATAGTCTAATTAAATGTCCCAGTTTAAATAATGTTTCACCCATCTCTAGCATTAACCAACAGAGGACAATTCCAGAATTTCTGTATTCTAGAGGGGCTTATGAACAACAACCTGGTGGGAAGAGTAGGTTATTAGGGAAGTAGTCTCACAGCTAAATCTGTGATACTTAAGATTAAAAAAACAAATGGTCTGATGGGGCTGAGGAAAAGAGAGAGACAGTTCCTACTTCTACAAGGCCACTTACGGAGTACTATCAGTATTATCATTTTTAATTGTTTAGTTCATGTTTAGTTCATATTTAATGCCCTAGAATTTTATATTTATACAATCATACTATGTTAAAAATTAATATAGTTCCTTATCATTACATGTGTATTTAGTACTGACATATAATTTTAAGACTTACATTTGTAATTTTTGTAACTCCTAATTCAACACAGCTCTAGTATATTACAAGAAATGAATACTATAAATTTCTCCCAGTATGTCAAAGTCAAAATAAGGGTTCAAATTTCAAATCTCAACCTAACTAAGCCTCTTTCTTCTTCTATAAAGTGAGGACAATAATTTAGCAGTTTGAAGAATGAGACAACGTAAATAAAATTATCCTTAAAACAATATAATCCATAGATAAACCATGTTTCCTGTGGTTTTACAAATGGCCCTGAGAACATTAATATCAGTTAATTTAGAGTCACTACATTAAAGTACATTAGTTCTTCCAATTTATTTCAAGTCCTTGGGTAAAAATGTATGGTAGATAGTAAAAAGGTTGATTTTAATTCTAAAATCACCTGCACTGCAGAAATCACCAGAACTTTTTATAAGAGGATCTTTTACACTATTCCAGATTTAATGACTTGAATTTAATGGGTGGTTTCCAGAAATCTGTATTTTTAATTCCCTACATGACTGATAATCACCCAGGTTTAGGACCTACTAGTACAGTTAATTACTATCACCCCTTCTTCAGAGTTTTAATTTTTTATTTTGTCAAATAAACTGACACTTGGAAATATACATTCTTATCCATGATTTATGGTATTTAATTATCTTTGCTTTTTATAATTACATTTTTAATAAACTGGCACAACCGGTGTGCTGATTAAGAATTCTAATAATAAAATAAGGATAGGCAATATGGTTTACAGTATAACAAAAGTATTTTCATAAGATATTAATTATGGACTATTAATTAAACTAAAATACAATACTTCAAAATATTTTGCACAAAGAGCTTACAGATCATAATTGTTAAATAACAAAATATCTCACTCAATGAAAGTTTTTTGAGAACTGCAATCTAATTTTCAAAACTGAAGAACAAAAGTATTAAATAAATCACTTTATGGCACAGAACACAATAAACTTATCTAAGCAAACAACAGAAAGGTTTTTGTATTAGAAGCAAAATGGGAGAAATTTTAAATTAAGCCCCAAATTCAAGGAATAGTTATTCATAACTTTCTGGTTAACTTATGCTCAATTATAAGAAATAAGGGCTTTTAAGCTTCATATCACTGTTTTTTTCTTTCATATATAAAATATATATATGAAATTCCAAACATTAAGAGTATATTTTTTTAACTTGGCAAAAAAAAAAAAAAAATTCTTACTTTGATAATTCAGAATCCTGGTATTCATCAAATCTGTGAATAATATTTGGTAATTTTTTAAACTACCGATGTCACCCTTAAGAAGATTCAGTTGTATTTTCTTGTAATTTATTTCTTCCCCATCAAACCTAGGAACTATAACAGGGAAGACACTGAAACATGGTAAGATAAAAACTGGTCTTAGACTTTATTCATGAATAACTCACCAAGTATTTATCGAATGTCTACTACACTTTCAGCTCTAGAAAGAATCTGACATGACAAGCCCTGCCTCTAGGGAGTTTGTCATTCAAAATACAGCACATCAAGAAATGATTCTGAATCACTAAAAGCCTTCATTTTATCTTTCAAGACGTACCCAGATACTGATATCCTATGTAAGATCAAGTATAATTTTTTATTATACTCTCTGAATTGTCATAAGGGGTACTTTGAAATTTGTATGCAGGCAAGGCCCCTTCTGCTACTTAGATTAAGTCAAATATTTTGTTTTCACTTTCAGTTTTCTCCAACATACCCTCCACAGCTTTGTCCAACCAGCTGGCTATTTCTGTGACACTTTACTTTCCTCTTCACTGGGTACTTGTTGCTTTCCTTCTTGCAAAAGCCTCGTCAACCAGTCTTTCTCATCTTTCTTTACTTGGTTTCTTATCCATTTGGTTGAAAAATATTAGCACTTTTTTAAAGTCAGGTCTTTAATTCATTGGAATTTTCAATTGGTATCTTTAAACTTTGTTGTATTCTTCATATTTTCTCTGCAACAACACTCTCTTCTTCAAATTATTTAGAAATATTATCCTCCAAAGCACAATGGTTTCTAAAAGATTTCCGTCTCAAACACAAGACTGATACAGAAATGCATAATTCAGTAAAGGACATTTGTACTGCATTGTCAATTCCCACTATTACATATACTGGATTCTGCCAAGATGACTATTAAAAGACTTATTTGTTACGGGATGTGACTTTATATACATAAAGGTTAGCTCAAAAGTAAGATTTTTGGTCCTCTGGTACTAAATTAAATGTAATTTACATGACACATGAAGTCTAAAACTTACAACACTAAATGATAAAGTCAAGACAGTTAACCATCATCAGTCTATCATCATCATCACAAACTATACACTTAAAAATCAAACTATTTATGAGTCTGTAAGTCAGATGCTGTCTAGCAAACTTCCATCTATGACTCATTTCCTTTTATATTTTTAACTCAAATACAAATATGTAAGATTAAGTAAATTTTAATTTTCCAAAAGTTCTCCAGAAAGAATTATCAGAATCATCCAGGTAAAAAACACAGTTGGATAATCCATTTTCACAAATGAACTCCGTACTTGTGTTGTGAGGTAGCAATCAACAACTCTAAGACCTTCTGTGGTGGCAGTTCCCGCTACTCACAAGCATTCCCTCTGCACATGAAGATCATGAACAAAGAAGGGACCAGAAGAGTCCACTTTTCATTGTTTCACTGACTTCTTGTGTTTTCGTAGTATGCTAAATGCCTGATTTCAAATTTACAACAACAAAAAATACCAATATTTATTCTGAAAAGTAATTGTATGTTCCAAGTAGCAGATATTAACAAGTTCCAACACGATCTCTAGGAATAATTCGAAGTTCTGAACCGTGCTTTAGAAAAACATTTCCTACACAAACAAATAAAACATAAAGTTAGGTTTCTAAAAAATGACAAATTGACAAGTTATCTTAATAATCCAACGATTATTACATACAACAAACTGTGTATTAAAAAGTAAAGTAGGTGCAAAAGATCAAGTAACATCAGAATCCAATTCCAACGTTTTGTTTTTTTGTTTTGGTGGTACTGGGGTATTGAACCCAGAAGCATTCTACCAAGGTGCTATATCCCCAGTACTCCTGCTCACTTTTTTTCAAATTTTGAGACAGGATTTTGCTAAATTGCTGAGGCAACTTGCCATCCTCCTGCTTTTCAGCCTCCCCAGTGTGTACCATCATACTTGGCTTAATTCCAAGCCTTTTAAGTTTTGTTCCTACTTTTCCCATAGCTTTACAACCAACAAATGTTTGCTTTAAAATTTTAAATAAGAACACTAGCCATGAAAATACTAACAATCAGCAAATAACAAGAATTAATTTCATCATGAATACTTGACTTAATACACAATAGAATACCTAAAGACAGAAAAAAAATTAAATTATCACAAAAGACAAAAGTTATATAAATTACAAAAATCTAGATACTCTGAATCTATTTTGGGTCAATTATTCACTGAGATTTCTTCATGTCCAGTGAGATACACAATTTAATTTTGAAATGTAATATAATAAGCATAATAGTAAAGTAATAGCTAAAATTAACGTATACTACACAAAATTTCTAGAATAAGACAAAACCTTAATCTACTAAGTTTGAATACATGTATATAATAAAATGCCTCACAATTTTCAATAAAAGCCCTTTTCAATTAAAAAAATATATATACTTAAAACTGTTGATTTAATTAACAATTTACAATTTTATATCATTCCTTACTTTCTACATGGCTAAATTTCACTAGTGGTCTTTAAGGAAAATTTTTTTTTTTATTATAATATAAAAGTACCTTAGAATATAGTAATTAAAAAGTAACTACTATTTAAGAATGAGGTTATATTATATTAAATCATATGTAATTTCAGAACATTAAAATTAGATGGTTAACCTAAAAGAACATATTTCAGAAATAATAAAAGTTTTTTTTTTTTTTTTTAATAAAGCTTAAGACTACTTTTAATAAGGACTTTTACTTTGCATGTTGATTAGAACATCAATGTGTCACTCTGAATTATGTGTAACAGTTTAGAAGTTTGGAGTGTGGACTCAACCCTCTTACATGTAAATGACTGTTCTTTAAAATAAAATAATAATAGCTAGGACCTACTGCATGCTAAGGATGCATAATGCAAACATTAAAACACCTGCTCCCTCACAACCACCTTAAGAGGCCAAAATTATCATTTCCATGAGAGTACAATCTTACCTTCATACATTTTGTTATGTATTAGTTAAAAACTTTCCCTAAACAAGAGCTACAACCTACTGAAAATCTTTAATTAGAATGAATTAAATACTCATCATCAATAGACATATAATTCACTCCCACTTCATGATTTTCAAATAGATACTCACCAGCAGTCTGTGCAGGATTTATTCCTATTCCATCTAGAAAACAAGTTATAAAGTCATGTAAGTTATTTCTAAAGAACCAGAAGAGATTTACCAATATAGTGCTGCTGCATAAACCCCAGAACATGAGTGAGAATCTTCCAGGTAAGTTACCTGTTTAAATCTACCGTTATGTATTTATGTACATTGCTGTATTAAACAAAAATAGCTGTCAATGTGATGATTCTAATAAATTCTATGGAAGACACAGTTTTTAATCCTCTTTTGCTACAAAGCATAAAAATGTTTGTCAATTCTTCTAAAAAGCTAAAGGTATCTTAGATATGCCATTAATAATTTCCATTCTGGTTTGAGGTATGAAATCTTAAGGGTGGTAGGGTACACAAAGTCATTTAGTTCAAGTTCCAATTACAATTTGAAATTTTCAAAATATTTTCTTGAGTTATTCATTTGTGAACCTAAAACTTTCCAGAAAGTAGGAAAGCTTTCTTATAAACAGAAGCACTTTAATTTAATAACATACAGCATATTTCATAGTAAGAAATTCTGACATACCTAAGTTACATCATGATACCATACTTTAAGCTCACCTCTCTTAGTATTCTAACTGGACATAAACCACTTGCTCACTCATTTATATTAGTCTGTGTACTTGAAAGATGATGAAACCCTCCATGCAAGCTTCACTCCCATTTTCTTATTCTACTATTTCATCATAAGAATAGTTCCATCATGCTAAACTTTTATCAGAATTCAAAGATATTCAAATTTTTAAAACTGTATCCCTAAATGGATAAAATACTACAAATTTGGAAGAGTTTTCTACCAGGAAAGGTAAAGCAAGGCATGGTAAAAGAACATGCTTGCTTAAGTTCCTGTATTTTAGAGCATTTTCTGATACAATAATCCTGGCATAGTTTACCATTAACTTTATCATTTATATTAGTATATTCGGGCTTTTTGGATATAAGTTATTGTTAATTAATTTGATTTCTTTTAAATAATATCTGTATCTCTGAGGTAATAGTTTTAAAGTAAATTCTTACCATTAGTAATAATTGCACTTGTTGCTGCAGGAACTTTAAACTAAAAGGGAAAAAGGAAATAAATTAAAAAAATGTGTAACTACCAAAGAAGAATAATAAGGATGGGATACATATCACCAATTCTAAAATCCCAAAATGTATGTGATTAATCTTTCAGAATAAGTGACATTAAAGCAAGCACAATTTGCTTTAATGAAGAGCCCTGTACTCTAAATAATGCATTTGACCGCATAAAGGAGACCAATAATTGTAAAACATTCCTTATTTATATACTATACAAAAGAAAACATTGTCAATCTATGGTCCAATCAAGGCCTATTCTTTTGGCTTAGACATGTTTCCTTTATCATGCATAATTCTCCTACATAAGCAAAAAAATAAGTATAGTTGATGAAAATATTTCTATAATTTCTTCATAGAAATGGCAGGTTTCAAACACATGCTCTCTTGTGTTTAATGGGAGTACCTCCGGAAGATTTTTAGATAACCACCAAGGCCTGTATTCCTTCCTCAAAATCTCCTTAAATGATTTGTTGATGTATATCTCAAAGGACTGTAATATTCCAATTATGTTGCTAGGAAATAACTATGAAGTTCAGTTAGGTACAGGTAATGTCAATTAGACAATTATGTGACTGCTACATGGGCAACTGCGATAGGAAGACACTCCTGACCTATTTCAGAGATGTTATAAAAAGATGTGCTTTTTGAATCAAAGGATAAGGCATGGAACTTATTGGTAGATAAGGGAGAGTCCATCTTGTAACGCTCTAGAGACCTGGAGCTGACAAAGTGTTCATGTCTTTATAGTTTATTCATTTTATCCAACAAATATTTATTAAGCATGTCTGTATGGACTAGTTTTATAGAATATTATCATTTAGTTTGGTGACCAATAAGTTTGAAAAACATTTATACTGAAGCAATACTCTTAATAAAGCTCTGATCAAATACCAAATTATTAAACAACTCAGATTTTCAAAGAATCCTACAAAGTTTTCAATTACTCTACTTACTCTTAAATCATGACTCAACACTTAAATCATGTCCATTTTAACATACGTTGTGTATTTTCTTAAATCACATTTTGTAGTGGCTGAGTATTTTATAAACTTTAAAAGCCAAAAGCAACTATTAACACAGTTTGTCTTTTCTCCAAAATACAGAAGCAATGATTAAGGTGAAACCTGGGCTGGGTGTGACATCAAATACAGTAATTAGTCTTCTGATCTTACACTACTGTCATGTTTTCTCTTGGATACAATATTTAATGTTCTCAGTTTTGTTTTCTATTCCAATTTAACAATTCTTTTAATTTAGGATGCTAAGAAGCTCTTCTGAAGTTTTGACAACTCAGTGAGTCATGTAATAGGAAATTTTGTTATTGTTTATTAAAATAATTTTATTAGGGTCTTAAATCTGGACTATTGGCTTCTCTGTGAGAGCCCCTCTCACCTCTGCCTGAAGTCATATTCTTTCAAAACATGTAATACTCACAATTCATAATTATATGCTACATCAAAACTTTAATTAACATATATGGTTGAGTGAATGTTGTTAGTTTATTTTCTACTATAGGTCCCTTGGGATTTTCTTCTACTTTCCTGAGAAAACCAAGGTTATAACAATGTATTAAAATTATAAAAGATACACCATAAAATAACTAAAAAATATATTATAATAATAATGATTTATTATAACTTTTACAGATCTGCTTCTTAAATCAGAAACCTACTATGCCCAAGACAGGGAATATTTCTTGCAAATGATGCATGCAGCAAAGCAATAACAACATCCTGTATTCAGATCTGTGTCTCATCTTATTTTACCTATTCTTTTGCATAAAGAATAAATCAAAATTGACTATAAAACTTTGTAGTTTAATTCTAAGTAAGGAACAAACGATGCTAGTGAACTAACATTAGTTTAGAAGCTAAGAGCAGTAACTAGTTGGCTGACTTCCCAATAACCACACAAATACAGGGAAGGGTTATAAGTTAATCATGTTTCTTATTTATTTAGGTATTAACATCATTTTTATATGACTATACTTTCCTAAGACCAAAACATTTGGTTTTGGGTTACTCTGAACCTATCTAACACTTTTAATTCCCCATAAAATTTTGGTAAAAGGTATTATATCTTTATACAAAATTACTTAATCAGATAGGAAGGACAGGCATTCACTACTAATTTCACAAATTGATAAAGAAAGAGTGCTAGGAATGTAGTTTAGTGGTGAAGAGCCTCCCTCGCAAGGGTGAGGCCCTGAGTTTGATCTATAGCAAAGAAGGTGGGAGGAGGAACCAACACACACACACACACACACACACACACACACACCAGCAAAGTGGAGAAGAAAGGAACTGAAGGATTTATTATAGCATACAGTTACTTAATGACATAACTAAAATAAGAGATCTAAAGTCTCCCAAGTTACATTTCAGTGCCATTTCTACTTTTCCATGAGTCATATCCAAAGATTTGATTATACATGTTTCTGATAATGGATGAAAATTTTTTTTATTTCTCAACAGCTAAAAACTTCACCTTTTAAAACTAGACACTTTTCAAAACAATTTTACTCACAATCTACAAGGTCAGGCATAAGATTTGGAAAATATGATAAAAATGTTTTTTAAAAATATATAATTCCAGAATCAAAACAAGTAAAAATTAGTGTTCAAAATTTAAAGTGATATAAAGTTGTTGTTTTTTTTTTTCAAAGTTTACATATCTTCACTACCTTCAATTTCAAGGAAAATTCTCCTTACAGTTTTTAACAGTTGCATAAAACTGGTGTGACAATTTGTTCAACTCATTTTTTTTGGTCTAAAAGTAAGCCTTAACTTTCACCGTTATCATAAACATAATAATGAACCCATAGGGAAATGCTAAGTCACAATACATACAAACTCAAAAATTTTTGAAAGCCATTGCCAAAGTGTATTACATAAAGATAATTCCAATTTCCATACTTACTTCTTCTGCTGCAAATTTTAAGACTGCTGTAAAAGGTGTACTCTCAGGAACACTAAGTCTGGAAGAAGAATTAAAGAATGTTAAAAACTTGGATTTATTTCAAGAACCTTTTTTCTTATTTCTTCCATTGTAAGTGATCTAGACAAAGCTGTCTTTTGAGTTTCAGAATTATTTGTTTTGATTACAGTACTATTTCATTGACTCTAAAATTTTAAAAAAAGGAAGCAAATACCCACTTGAAAACTTTTAAAACTTTAAAATTGAAAGCTAATGCCCACAGATATAGATTTATGTATTTTACCTTTTTTGATACAATTAAGTTTAATATATCAGCTAATTCTTTCTAGAGACAGATTTCAAGAAGTTTAAATCTCTTCTTGTTCCTCAGTCCACTTTATTGCCTTTCATCTAAACATTATTTTACCCAATGTGGCAATGTGTTTTATTTTCCAAGTTGGCGGCTTTTCATAGAGGTAGATATGCTTTGACTGTAAATGCACAGAGGGCACTATGGTTTTATAGGTATGTAGTACATTTACAGACAAGGGGATGGTAAAAATGAGAGAACTCCCCCTCTATTATCTTGATAGCAAAGGGAAAAGGAGTTGTGGAAAGTTTTGAAATTTTTATATAATCCTTTCTGACAATAAGAGAAAAGTGAGCACACTTGAGGAATACAGGAGAGTGCCCATTATTAATTTTATATAAAGCATCAGCTTAATTATGTATTTTTCCAGGAATATTCAGTCACAAATAGAAAATGAAAATGGTTAAGAGTTGGTGTCTCCCAAAGCAAAATATGTCAGGAAGAGAAAGGGGGACATCAGAATTGAGGGCATTTGCAAGGGAATGATTTTTAAAATGGACCACAAACTATAAGCTGGATAAGGAAAAAATAAGTGGGATATGGCACTGGGGAGTGGGGAGTGATAGAATAAAAAGCCACTGTCATCAGTGGATTAAAAAAAGACTTGTATAAGACATATTAGAGTAAATCAGCTGGAAGGAGAGAATGTAGTAACCTGTAAGACAGTGCCTGAAATTAATATTTTATGTTATTAACTTTCAACACAGGAAGTGTGTGGCTTGAGGCTCAATTACTTTGTGATATCCTGTTGAGTCATATACACAACAAAATAAAAAAAAAACTTGACAACAAGCGGTCAAGTAACTTCAGAGTCTGCACTGGGAAGTCTTCCCTAACTTCCTCTAACAGCTGCCAAAATGGCTCTAGGACTTTGCAATCACCAGGAGTGAGGGGCTGTTCAAGAGGACCAGAGCCTTGTTCAAATGCCCTCCCGCTCCCTCGTTCACCAAAGGAATTCCAAAGGGGATCCGGATAAACTAGAGTCACGCAGCCCTACCCCCGTGCAAGGGCCCAGCTGTCACTCAGGGGAGCATGCGGGGACCCCTCCTTTAGGGTTCCGGCGGGAAGAATTCCTGGAACGGCACGGACTGGGCAAAGGGAGGGAAGGGAAGCAAGCTGCGCGGGGTGGGAATCCTTGGAAAAGTTCGACCGCGTCCAGCCCAGCGCCGGCTCGCCCAGACCACAGGCCCTCGCCCCAGCACAGCTACTCACACTTTATACGGCAACCGTGGGTCCGACGTCAGCGTAATCTTAAAGGAAACCTTCGACCTGAGAAAGAGCGAGGGAGAGAATTAGGATCCGGTAGGGGATCAGGGACTGGGGCGGCTAGAAAGCAAAGACTTACATGGTGGAGTAGGTCTGGGCGGACACCCCACGCCAATTTGGCGAAGTAGCTCCAAGCCCTCACCAGTGAAGAAGCGTCTGGGCCCCTCCCGACTCAGCTCCACGTCTCCCTCCGCAAACTGGGGACCTCCAAAGCTGCTGCTGTCCAAAGAATTGCCTGAAAACTGGTTTCAGATTCTCAAGGTAGACGAGGCCCCAAAGTCACTAATACCACGGATTTTAGACTTCTGTCTCGAAAACATAGCAATAGTTACATACAAGTACTGTTGTTCTAAGTTCAGTTAATTTATGTTACATTTTTAGTAAGGCACAATACGTCTGAGCATAGAGAGTAGGACCCTAGGCTCCACTGGGAGGTTGGGTCGGAAGTAAGGAAATCCACTAGACCCAGGAGGTGCGAGTGGGTCAGGGGCGGGACTGGGGGGGGGGGGCAGGGGCGGTGGTGGGCGGGGCCTTTCCCAAAATTGCTTGGCAACCTGCACACCGGAAAGCTCCAAAGATGCTCAAGAAACTGGACTCTTAACCTTACTTTGTCAAACATTTTCTTTTGCCTTTCCAGTATCCCAATCCTACTGTACGTTTTTTATTCCTCTTATTTTATTCTTCATATTTTACTTTCCAATACTGAGTTCTATTAAATTTCAACAAATAAGAGAGTTATCAAGGACAAATAGTATATGTGAAGTCTCATGCTCAGGTGTTTAAGAAAGAAAAGATCCCAGTACTTGAGCGATTTTGACTCCAGCTGAAAAGATTGAATAGAAGATGTTAGTAGTTCATTAATAAAAATAAACCTGGAGTTCTAGATTGCCAATCATCAGCTGCATTTCTTCAGTTTAACGATGAACTTTGAATCCTTTCTGGGTGCCAGTCACTAAGCTAAACTCTGGGGGATCTCAAAACCAGTAAGACAGGTAGGTGCCAGCCCACTAGTTAACAGTTGGTAATGCTTGTATAATGAGGCAAGAGGGCTGTCCTCTAAACTTCATACAAATGTAAACCTCTCTATAAAATAAGCATTACTTTCAAAATAATTGTAATTAGCTTTTTAAGAAATATTGCAATGAATAAACAAAACAGAAAAAAGGTAGGCACTAAATTAATGGAGAGATATAGTTATCTTTAGAATATGAGTTAGGGGGCTGGAGTTGTGGCTCAGTGGTAGATCCCTTGCCTAGAATATGAGTTAGATGTTAAGGTGAGATGTCTAAGAGACCAGCAGGCAAGAAAATATAGTGGGGGTGCTGAAGACCAGTTTCATCTTTGCCAAATTTTTAGCTGATATTCTGTAGTGAGATCTTCCAAAGGAGAGTTCTGATTTTGACCAAAATTTGCAGGAACATTATCTTCACTTTCAAAATTGTAGGTCTTGCCATATACAAAGATGGAAGCAAATATTGATAGATTAGGGGGACAATAGTTACACCTTTCATAACTAAAACTACAAAATTTGTGGGCATGACTATGATGTTTGAGAATGGCAGTAAAGATAAACCTACTGATAACATCAGCTAGCCAAATAACAATGGAGAGATTAGTATACATATCTAGTCTTTATTTTTAATAAATATTACATGTTTTAAGTAAAACAATACATTCAGTTATTCATAGGTTGGTTTCTGCTCCTGTATAAAATGTGACAAATACTAAAGAGAAAAATATACTTTTATTAGTGAATTTCTATTGTATTATATAAAATAGTAAAGTCATATCCAAGGAGGTTAACTTAAATACTCAAATTCATATTCCTCTTTGGAGTACATATGTCAAAATAACAAAAGAAATATAAAGTACACAGCTTGACAAGCTTTCACATAATGAACATACAATATTATATTCTCAAAACATATCGAAAAGTATCTATTTCAAAATATTTAGAATTCTTTCTCATCTCAATTCTCTAGCTCTATCCTCTTACATGTGTATTCTCAATGTCAGCATAATTTCTAGAGCCTTCTGATTTTTTTCATAAGAAAGGAAATTATAAATGGATTTTTATAAATGGATTCATTCATAATTTTTTAGTTTTTAAAACATTCCTAAGGCATTTTCAGTTTTCAAATTTTATAGCAAAACAAGGACTTTCTAATTTACTGAAAAGCTAAAATGCTACAATATATTTAATGGGTATAAACAGAAATTTTAGAAGATAATTGGCAAATGTAACATTTTAAGACAAGAAGTGGAATAAATGGCCCAATGGGTTTGGAAGAGATCCAATTCATATCATGTAGAGACAGAAATGATTGTGCAAGTTCAGTGTGACCATATTAGATCTCATTGTGAAACATACTGATATTCTATTTGCAAAAGCATATGAATTTCTCATTATCAGAATGGAATTAGAAGGAAATGAAATTTCTGTGAGGATTATAAGACTTGAGGACTAAAATTCGTTTTAATAATTATTTATTTAGGAAGGTTTAAGTAAAATAGAAAACATGCAACATTTGGATGCCAAAAAAATTCACCTTCTTAAACTTTTTCACCTTGTATGGTTGTATGTATTGTTATGACTAAGACCACCTGATAGTCAAATTATGTCATCCTAAAGAGATCACAGTGGGGTAAATCTTAGGATCTTCTATTTCAAATACTTCATGTTATAAAATTATGCCTTGATCAATTCATAATAAGTTGCTATATGTCTGAGTAAATAATTGGTCATTTTATTCTATTATCTTTACTCACAGTACATTAAAAGGCACTGATATCACTGGGGCAGTGATTATAGTAATGACTTAAAATTGATCAAGATCTCAAATACCACATAATCTCACTCATTTGTTGAACTAATAAGTTGATTTTGTAGAAGAATGAAAGGGAATAATGATTGCTAAAGATTGCTAAAGGCAGAATGAGGAAGAATGCAAAGAAGTTCAGTAAGAGGCACCAAACTCAGTGGAGGAATAATGTTTAGTTATTCTTTAGCACAGTGTTTTAACTATTTACTAAAATAATCTATGATATATTTCAAAATGACCAGAAGAGTGAGAAGTTTCCAATACATGAAAAAGATTAGATGGAAATGCTTATTCTCCTGATTTTATTGTTCCACACACACACACACACACACACACTATCTATTTACCTATATAGTGACTCGGATGGGGAAAAAGAGGAGCATCCTTGATTCCATAATGTTTCTTGAACTAAAGGGTGCTTATCGTATGTTCACTATGTGAAAGCTTGTCAAGATGTGTACTTTATGTGTGTTACATTTCAATAAAAGAGCTCATCTTAAAAAAATCCTCCAAACTAAAATAAATAAAACAGTTACAACAAATGACTGAGAATGATACATAAATTTTAGTGGGCAGGGTACTAAGGGATTCACAATAGTATGTTCAGTATAGAAGAGAGTAAAAATTGTGTATTAGATTTACTTAACTTCCTGAGAAATTGTGTCATCGATAGCTATAGCACTCATTGTATTTGAATTGCTAATTCAACATGGCTATATCTGAATGTATTTATGACTGTCATATCTGCATTGAATTTACCTGTTGAACAGATATTATCTAATTAACTATGATTTCTTAACTCACTGTGTAGACATGAAATATATATTGAAGTAATTTCACATGGTGATAATTTGGATTTAGTTTCTTAATATTAAAGGTCGAATATGATGTAAATTTTTAAAAATAATATATATAGTCTGTTATTATCCAACAATAAATATTTAGGATTAAAAAATGAATCATATTTCTAAATGTGGAGATATAGATAAATTTGGCAAGAAGAGATCATTCTCACATCAGAACAGCTCTATAAAATTAATCCATTGAAAGCCAGGCACAGTGGTGGCACATGCCTGTAATCCCAGCAGCTAGGGAGGCTGAGGGAGGAAGATAGCAAGTTCAAAGCCAGCCTCAGGAAAAGCAATGCTCTAAGCAACTCAGTAGGACCCTGTCTCTAAATAAAATACAAAATAGGGCTGGGGATGTGGCTCAGTGGTCGAGTGCCCCTGAGTTCAATCCCTAGTACCCATCCCCCCCCCAACATTAATCCATTGAAGATGTGCCATTGTGAATTGAAGACATGCACCACTTTATGCTACACCACATTGGGCAGTGGGGATGGGAGTATGGATTGTAGTTCTCATTTCTGTCTAAAATTCTTCTACCTAAATCTTCATTTACTACTTTACTTTCACATCAATCTATCGGAGAGTTATCTTATAAATTAATCCATTTTGTAGCAGAAGTTAAATTATACAAGAAGAAAATAGCATATAAATCCACACTACCCTGTGAAAGTTTCTCTCCCTTAGCAAAGTATTATTTGTAATAATGCCAAATAATGACCCAAGGCCTTTAAGAAATAAAGTTTTAATGTTATAAGAAAATAAAAATGTCAGTAAAGGAAGAATTTTAAAAATCAACAAAAAATAGGAGACATGTGGATAACTTAGCATGTTATTTAGAAAAGAAACTAGTTTATTTTAAAAATAAAATAAATTATAAAAATAAAATCAGAAAGAATAATGACATAATTCATATTAATTTACAGTTTAAACATGGAGTGAAAATATACTTCAAACTGAAACATGATGCCGCCAAATGGTAAGTAAAATGCCTAGTCACTAAGAAAGAAAAAAGTAATTTCCATATTTACTGGAAATACTTTAATTTTGACAAATTGAATGGACTAGTCAACGCATGATAAAAAATGTGATTTAAAAAAGAATAAAATTGTCTTTTCCTTAATTTTTTTAATTTTACTGTTCTACAGTATTCTATTTTGTGAATTCTTGTCCTAGATTCATATTTAACTAATATTTATCTCTTCGGTTTCTTTAATAGTATTAGATGATATTTGTTTTTCCTCTAATGCTTAATTTTTCATGTTTTGCCCTAACAATAAATAAGGTGATAGAAGAGAATTTTCGGTTGTTGTAAAATGTTACTAATTGTCAGATGTGGCTTATTCTCTGAGACTCTTTGAAAGGATTAAAACCAGTGTGACATCTTAATTGTCTAAAAATTGCATCACAAGTTGCCATGATATGAATTCAGAAATATTGCTTAATTACCATTAAAATAGTAATGTTATTTTCAATGTGATGTTGTTGATCTTGGATATATAAAAATTTTCATTTGTAATTCTCTATCATTCTTAACCAAAGCAAGAAACAGTGATTGATAATCTTCTTTTATATTTATGCAGCATATTGCCATTTTCTAAGTCTGTTGCAATTACAGCCCCCATTTTATTTCTATAATAAGGCATTCAGCATTCAGGATGAATTCAGTTGTTTCTCTTAAAACTCACAAAATTAACACAAAGAGGTAACGCACAGGCCCAAGGTAACCCCAGTGGTTTTTGAGAGACTGTGGAAAAACACAGTTACAGATGTAGTTTTACAAAACTTACCTAATTTGAGCCCATGCAAGTTATTTTTTGATATTTATTGTTTAAACTACAAATAATTGAATTAATAAACCCATTTAATGAGTTTCTCAATGAGTTTTTCCTGATTTCCCAGAACCTAGAATAAATATCTGCCATACAGCAGGTACACAAACAATATTTGTTGAATGAATTCATGTTTGCTTAAAAATATTACAGATTGGTAATACTTTCCAGTTGCACTAATATTTGTAGATTCCATTAACTGCACTCATAAAAGCTCTTAATGCAGGAACTTACACACTTAGATTCTTGCGTTGTTCTTATTTTAAGGCTTGTCTGTTCAAAGGACAAGGCAATTCATGAAATTTACTGCTGCTAGTAAAATCAGAGGTTAAAAAAGGCTAATTAAAGATTCTTATCAAGTGTGACTAAAGAAGCCACTGGAATAAAAATATGTGAATATCCTCACATGTTCCTTCACCATTACTTTCTGTAACATGTGATATTCTGAATCAGAGATCCTGCATTAGAAACCTCACTACTGACTCTTTCAGGATTTAATACTTACAGATACAACATTGCTCATTGTTATTAACCTTTCTGGCAGCTTCCATGGTGATAGAGATGGTGATGTGTAGAGCAGAGATGGTATGCTGGTGGCAAGTGGCTCTGGGAGTTTGGGGGTTGTTATACACAGTACAGCTAAGTGCATAATACCTTTGGAATAGATCCATATGGCTCAGTACCTATTGTTCCTATCAAACCTTTATGTTTTTTGTTAGTCTTCTGCAGTCATTTGAGTTTATGATCCTTGGTATATAGGATCAGACTTAGGGAACACATTTTTGATGCAATTCTATTAGCCAAAGTACATATGGGTCTTACATAGCTTAGTATACTTTAAAGTTATAACAGCATGGTAATGGCACCAAAACAGACATGTATACCAGTGATACAAAATAAAAGACACAGAGACAAATCCACACAAATACAGTTATGTAGGACAAAGGTGCCAAAAACATTCACTGGAGAAAAGATAGCCTATTCAACAAGTGATGCTGGGAAAAATGGAAATCCACATGCAACAAAATGAAATTAAACCTCTATCTCTCACTCTGCACTAAAAGTGAATCAAAGACTTAGGCATTGCTGGGCACGGTGGCACATGCCTTAATCGCAGTGCCTTGGGAGACTGAGGAAAATGTCTGAGGCAGGCGAACTGTGACTTCAAAGCCAGCCTCAGCAACAGCAAGGCACTAAGCAACTCAGTGAGGCCCTGTCTCTAAATTAAATACAAAATAGGGCTGGGGATGTGGCTCAATGGTCGAGTGTCCCTGAGTTCAATTCCCAGTTCCCCCCCCCCAAAAAAAAGACTTAGGTACTAGAACAGAGACCCTGTGTCTACAAGAAGAAAAAGTAGGTCCAAATCTTTATCCTATCAGCCTAGGAACTGACTTTCTTAACAAGACTCCTATAGTGCAAGAGGTAAAATCAAGAATCAATAAATGAGATGGATTCATACTAAAAAGCTTCTCAGAAAAAGAAAGAATAATGTGATGAGAGAGCCTATAGATTGGGAGAAAATCTTTCTCACATGCACCTCAGATAAAGCATTAATCTCTAGGGTATATAAAGAACTCAAAAAACTTAACATAAAAAAATTAACCCAATCAATAAATGGGCAAAGGAACTGAATGGACACTTCACAGAAGAAGAAATGCAATTAATCAACAAATATATGAAAAAATGTTCAACATCTCTAGCAATTATAGAAATTCAAATGAAAACTACTCTAAAATTTCATCTCACTCCAGTCAGAATGGCAATCATCAAGAATACAAGCAACAGTAAATATTGGTGAGGATGTGGGGGAAAAGGTACACTCATAAAGTGATGGTGAGACTGCAAATTGGTGAAACCACTATGGAAAGCAGTTTGGAGAATCCTCAGAAAACTCGAACTAGAACCACCATTTGACCAGCTATCCTACTCCTCGGTTTATATCCAAAGGAGTTAAAATCAGCATTCTACAGTGACACAGCCACGTTAATGTTTATAGCAGCTCAATTCACAATAGCTAAACTATGGAACCAACCTAAGTGTCCTTCCATAGGTAAATGGATAAATAAAATGTGATATTTTTTTCCAGTGGCATATTACTCAGTTTTAAAGAAGGATGAAATTTACTGGTAAATGGATGAGTTGGAAAATATCATGCTAAGTGAAATAAGCCAATCCCAAATAACAAAAGGCCGAATGTTTTCTCTGATATGCAGATGATAATTCACAATAAGGGGAGTGGGGGGACTAGGGAGAATAGTTAGATTAGGTTGAGCAGAATGAAGGGAGTGGAGGGGAGTGGATATCGGGATAGGAAGGGTAAGTAGAATGAAACAGATATTATTACCTTATGTACATAATGAATGCATGACCAATGTGATTCTACAATGTGTACAACCAGAAAAAATGAAAAATTATACCCCATCTATGTATGATATGTCAAAGTGCATAAATGCATTCTAATGTCATGTATAACTAATAAAAGCAAATTTAAAAATTCAGAAGTTGGAGATTTCTAAGACCCAATTGTATATGTGAAACCATTACCCATGGTTTAAGAATTGTGTCAAAATGGGAAATTAGGAAGTTTGGGCTTGATAGCTATTTTAGATATTAGGATAATATAGTCTAGGTAATTCCAAAACTGTTAATTGTTATAGATTTTAACTGTTTTCAGTATTAATTCTGAAAATCTTAGATAATCAACTGCCTTACATAGTTTAGTATATTGTAACAATGTTATTATCACCTGAAACTCTGAGTGTCTTTTTGCAGCTCTGTTCACCTCAGTTTAGTTAATTCTATATACACAATCTATAATAATTTCTTGAAAAATTTTGCGTGATTTTTTTTAGCATTCATATCCATTTTGTCTTGCTTTCCTGGGGTATTGAAATGGATTCTCTCTTACAAAATGTCAATTATTTATTTTTATTTATTTTTGATTAGTGGTTTAAAGGTGGACTTACAATGTAAATGACCAGTTCACAAACTAGAATTGGTAAGAATTTCCTCTAGAAGCTATCAAAGTATTAACAGAGAGATGGATATTTCTCCCTTACTTCTTTAAGCAGTTGGAGGAATATGATTACATCATTTAGATAAAAATAAAATATTGGTTCATTATGTCCTACTTATTTTATGATTGATAAATAAATAAACTTTACTCAGAAAGTCTTATTTTTACTACCATCAAAAACTGTCATTATTTTCTAAGAGATTGGGTATACCCTAGCCTGTTTTGTTTTGTTTCTATCCTGACTCATTGATAGGAACTTCAAACTTCTATTACAGCTACAACAGCAATGAAAATGAAAACCCTTTCTAATAGAAATTTACATAATTAAATTTTTCTTCTTCATTTTTAATTCTTTTCAATTGTAATGCTCATAAATATAATCATGTTAACTTTTTATTTGACTTTCCCTAGCATTAATAGTAAATTGAAGACATTTGTTTTGAATATATCTGATCACACTATATAGATTTAACAATTCATAAATAATTCCTCATGGAAAGCATAATATAGAGTGTTTAATTTACAACCTAAGATTGAAGTCAAAAGGCTTTTCCAAAGCTTACTGTTATCTTCTATTTTTCTAGAATATTTATTGTTTGGTTTTGGGTTTAATGCTAATAAAAATACATTTGTATTTCTGTGTATCTTAATCACACTTTTATTTTCTGTGTTTTATGATGTTTGCACATCTTACCAAGATTGCTGGCAGCTGAGAGGTTCCCCCTCCCAGGGTTAGCCAATTCTTGGAGATAGCACTGGGCTCAACTTTGTTACCTTTCATATGCAAGTCAACTTATCTCCAGGAGTCCACAGCCCCATCTACTTCTATGTTAGTCTGTTTCCTTCTCTATAAAAAAAAAAAATACCTGAGATAGTCAACTTTATAAGTTTATAAAGAGAGAAGGTTTGTTTTGGTTTGTGGTTTCAGAGGCTTCATTTCATTACCAGTTGGTCATTTTGCTTTGGCCTGTAGCAGCACATCTTCTTGGGAAAGCCTGGGGGAAGTGGAGAATAAGAGGACAAGGCTGGGGTCCCACTATCGGCTTCAAGGGCACCTCACCAATGACATGAGACCTCTGACAGGCCAACTTCTTAACGTTTTCACAACTCACAGTAGTGCCAAAGGCTGGG